CAGTGAAACATCTCCACATATTAGGAATGCCAGAAAACTCTCATCGGGAGGGATTAAGAATTCAAGCAGATTGTTTATTCCGTTCAGACCCCTTATGGGCTCCCAAAAGGAAGGTCTCTCACCTGCAATTCAACCAGCTCGTTTTGCTCTTCTGCCTGGCTCAGGAGGAAGCCTTCCGCCAGAGCCACTGCCTGGGAGCTGGTCTCTGCTCCGCACTCCCGCAGCCAGCTCTCCATCTGCAGGGGCAGAAGGGCCAGAAACTGCTCCAGAATGACCAGGTCCAGCACCTGCGCCTTTGTGTGCTTTTCTGGTCTCAACCATTGATGACAAAAGTAGTGGAGACGCCTGCAAAGTCCTCGGGGACCTTCAGCCTCCTGGTATTGGATGCTCCTGAAGTTCTGGGGCCGAACCTCTGAACGGATGGTTTCCTCCTCCAGGCTCTTATGCCCTGGTCTTTCACAGATCTCCCCACAGCTCCCAGGCTGGACAGCAAAAGGGCCTTCTCCACTTCCCTCACTTGCTAAGGGTTGTGTCTCCATTCTTTCTCTGTCCTGTACTGCAACTCCAAAGGTGTCTGAGGAATCCTGTGGCTCTCCAAATGCCTTTTCATTCATAGGACTCTTTGTGTAGCTGAGGAATGACCACAGTGGGCCAGTCAGCCCTCTTTGCCCAAGAGAGAATTTTGTCTGTATGCGAGGACCTACAAAAGGCTTCCAGGTTGTGTGTCTTGGATGGAAAAGAAAAGACATTCCAAGAATTAGAAAGTGATGGATTTCACCATTGAACAACACTCATCCCCATGGAGGGCACCATTTTTCTGAGTTGGTAAGAGGATGACAGTGGCATTGAGCAGATAGGAGCTGAGGGCCGGGCAGCTGATTGGCATAACCTGAATCTTACCTCTTAAGGGTTGCATACTACTAAGCTGCAAGAGGATGATAACACGTCAAAGGTTGGGCTGTTGTGGGTACTTGGCAAGGAGGGTGCTCTGGGGAGGGGAAGATAAGGTTTTGAGATGTTCAAAAATCACAATTGTGAGACCACCGGCTGACCTAGTTGTCACCTAAAAATTAATTCACGTACTAAAACACACAACCCTAAGGTCGAGGTTTCAGAAACCATAGAACATGCTAAGCTCATTATGGGATGGTAGTATGCAACATGGAACCAAGCACGCTTGCCCGACAATGTGACAAA